GAACACAGGGAGGAGGGGGTGAGGAGAGCACAGGGAGGATGGAGGGGGGATGAGAAGAGCATAGGGAGGGTGGGTGAGTGTGAGAAGAGACCGCTAGGGAAGGGTGGGGGAGAGGGGAGACCACTAAGGGGCAGGGGAGAGCTCCAAGGGATAGCTCTATAGGACAGGGGGCAAGACCTGGAGCTCTTTCACACTATGCGCGCACACACACAATGCATCCCTATACATACACAGAAACACACAATGCATCCCTACACACACATAAACACAACATGCTTCTCTTACACACAGAGAAACACACAATGCATCCATTACACACACACAATGCAACCCTTACACACAAAGACATAGCATCCTTTGCACACATACACAGAAACACACAATGCAAACCCTTACACACACACTGCTTTTCTTACATAGACACAGAAACACAATGCATCTTACACTCAATGCACACACATAGACACACACCTTGCATCCCTTATGAATACAAACACAGATTCACACAATGCATCCCTTACACACAACCAGAAACACACAATACATCCCTTTTACACAAATACACAATGCTTCCACTACACACAAACACACTGCATCACCTACACAAACTGGTATCCCTATACACTACATACCATAAGCACACATATTAGATCCTCTACAATAACACATAACACATCCCCTACACACTCCACTCCCTGTGAGCGAACTGGAATATATAAATGTACTTATGAGTGGGCCTTATGGGAATACTCACCGTCAGGCCCTGGTGCCCAGACCTTGAGCTGTGTAAGGGGCCCCCAAAAAGTGGAGCTACTTCCAATTCTCCCAGAACATTAAATTTTGTGACCACAGTTGCAAACAGCTTCCAGAGATCCTGTTCTACACCAGACCAGTGGAGCCAAACTGCAGCCCATCATCATCCTCATCTGGTTGTAAGTAGGCAATCTAGTATATTATTAGTGACACTAATCTATAATGTACCTCACATTAAAGGGACACTATAGCTTAATGAAGTGGCTCTGGTGTCTATAGCCGGTCCCTGCAGGCTTTTAAATGTAAACACACACTGTGTGCAGCACTGGCGTTAGTTCATATGGCAGATCATATGGTTGGGGCATTGTGATGTCACATGGGGGAGGGGCAAATTTTTATTTTGACTAGGGCGGCAAAAATCTTTGCACCGGCTCTGATCCTGGGCAGGTGCACCAGTCTACTGGTGACCCACAGGAGGGGAGTGCACGGATTGCACTGCACTCTCCTCCTGCCCAGACCCGTCTTTACCGTAGTGCAAGTGCTCTCTGCCCCTAATTTACAGTGGCTCACACTCACAAGCAGCGCCTGGAGCCCTTTGCAGAGACGGGAACAAAGAGGTTATGCGTCAGCTGGCCGTCCTGCAAGCATTGCATTAAACAGCTGTTCCCCATGCAGCCACCGGTGGCGCTGTGCTGGGAGAATGTGATTACTCTTCACTTCCTCCCAGCCTACAGAACTGCGCATGGGAGAGAGAGGAGGAGGCATGATTTAATCTTACAACAAATCCAGTAAGCAAAGCTTTATAAATTTGGGGGGGGGATCAGCTCTGTTTCCACAGTTTATTGGTGTTTACTCTGATGTCTGTATTAATATTGAGGGATGTCTAAATAGTAACGTCAGTGTGTGTCAGTAGGGCCAGCCGTTGGGGTGTGCAAGCTGTGCGGTCATGCAGGGTGCCATGACAACAGAGGCGCCCGGCGGCCAACATAGCTCACAAGTTGGGGACACCAGCCTATTCAATTTAAACGATTCACTGGTGGTACACTGGTGCGCTACCAGCAGTTGGTGCAGTCAGATTATATCCTCTCCCTCGTGGTTCCGGCGCTCAGTTAGTGAGTCAAAGCACAGGTTCAGAGATTCTCAGCCTGCGCTCTAACATTGAAAGTCAGAGCCGTGACGGAGCGGGTATGGCAAAGAGCTACTGATGAACATAACATCAATATACGTTATAAAACCAGGAAAAGGTAGGCTTGGATGGTGAACAGATTGGGTGGTGCAATGGGCCACTTAACTATATGCAAAATGTGGTTTGTTTTTTGGAAGACAACATTAAATGAAGTATGAAGTCATGTTAGATACCGTTTTCCAAAGAAAAAAAGCTAAATGGGTCATTTGTAAAAAAGTGTTTGTTCACTGGTTGAGTTTAAAATAGAAATGTAAAACAAATTGACCAAGTGATGGCTGGTTTTAATAAGTTCTATAAAATGTCAAAATCCCCATCTCAATGTAATTTTGTATATATAATTCAAAAATAAAAGCCAAACAACATACTATTCTACAGTTAAACATTACTCCACAATAAAGCAAGCCGAATTTAAAATAACATTTTTTAGATGTGTTCCTTTTGTTGTGTTGGAGGACATAGGATCAGCATAATTTGCATATTTTTGCCAGTCGCCAAAATAGATTCAATAATGAAATATGTGTCAGAAGTCTCTAGGACGGTCTGTCTTACAGATACAAACAGGAGTAGAGATTGCAAAATGTTTTTGTTTACAAGACTGCAGTGGTAGCATCTATGCCCACAAAACCACTTTATTTTCTGTATCTCTGTTATGCGCCGTGTTCTCCGCAGGCTTCTTTCTTGATCGTTGGTATAGAGGCAAAGACAAATTTGACATCCTGAGGAAGCCAATCGGCAAAACACGTAGACGCAGCAACGCAAGCTACATGGTTAACGTAATTCCAAGTGGACGTAGTTTCTTCGGGACCCGCAAAATTTTTCTTTGCCTCTATACCAACAATCGAGAAAGAAGCCTGCAGAGAACACGGCGCATAACCGGGATACAGAGAAGCTCATGTAACAACCATCCGTGGAGAATTGAGCACTGTAGCCAGCTGAATACAACAAAGTGTTCTATTGGGAACGAAAGCAGTGTGTGAGTAGCAGGTTCATACTGCATATACTCACTACATTCTTCTCGTAAGAGGCTCATTATATTGCTTTTACGGTTATCTATATTTTATTTGTTTTCCAACTGCATATTCTTTGTGTTTATTGCAGTCTTTGTAATTTTATCCATTTGATCTAACTGTACTTCACTATTATACTCTTGTTTATTCATTTTATGTGATTCTGAGACCGAATGATCAAGACTACCTGGGTCTTTTTCTACAGGCGCTCCACCAGTATAAGTATACACATGAAAATTAGTCTCTCGGCAACAAGCATTCACACCAACTATAGTGTCTGTCTCCTTCCTTTTGCCCTTAGATTAAAAGCATGTGTGCATCTCATTCAGGGGTAGTAACCAAATTAAAATTCTCCAAGTAAGCTATGCTTTCAATTTGACTATTTAAAGGGACACTATAGGCACTAGAACCACTACAGGTTAACGTTGTGGTTCTGGGGTCTATAGCATGTCCACGCAGACATGTTTTGTTTTATATGCAACTATATCAAACTTCAACTTTGCTCTTGTAATCCACTAGATCTTCCAAACATCTGCTGTGCATTTCTTAATTTGATACTTTTCCCATTAGGCGTCACAGGTGGTTGATGGAAATAGCATGGCAGAACAAGAGAAACTTTATTAAGCTTTGCATTGGATGTGATGGAACTGCAGTGGGCTCCATATATATCTCTTTTCCAAGAAAACATTGTTCACAAAACTCTGGTACAAAGACTACGTGTGCTAAGTGGCATTTCATTCCTCAAAAAGAAAAGAGTTACCTCTTCTAGTGCAATTAGTTTGCTAGAGCAGCATTATATGGAGTTCTACAGCAACTCAAAGCCCATAGGGGACTTAAAAACGCTATGGGAGGCCAGATATTAGTCAAAAGATTTCCAGTATACTGAAAAGACTTGCAAATATGGAACATTCTAAGAGAAGAAATTATTTTAACATGCAAGACTTCCACTTAAAGTTGTCTCACTTATTACACATCTACAAACTACTGTATTTATGTGCTTTTTTAAAATCAGTAATGTTACCAAGTTAATGCTGGACTTAAAACTTGAGAACATACTTGCAAAAGCACTGGCTTTTGTCTAAAACCTTGTTTGAAGGAGAGAGAAAAAAAAAAGTGTAGTGACAAATTTAATGTAGAGAAGAAACATTATCACATAATGACAAGAACGCACCATTTCTTCCCAGGTTTTATTTATTGCACCATGTAAAATGTGACATCTGATAATCTCTTGATGTGTGTGAGCAATTCTGCTGGGGAACATACCTGCAGGTGCTTCATTACTAGTTTAATTACAGAAATTCATTTCAGAACTGTTGAACAAAGAACTTTTATATTTTTTTATTTTTAATTAAAAGTGTTATTTTAAAGTCCATGACCACATCTACTTTTGGAAATGGTCATGGCGGCAGGAATCTGTACGCTGCACAGACATTTACTTTTTTAGCAAGTGGGAAGTTGCATTCAAAGTTTTCTAGGGTGCAAAAATTACATCTGTTGTCAGAGCACACTGCACGCTGGCAACAGAATCATTGTCCCTGTGTGTGCGCGCTCTACTAGTGTTCACCCTAGAGTCATTTTCATTAATTGTTTTCCCTAGTCCTTACTTTCTGTCCGCAACCACCTGCCTCCGTCCCCGACTCAGAGCACGCACACGTACTCTGTGGTTTAATCAAATGCACCTAACTCCAGGCTCAGAGGGAAGGTGTGATGTCAACAGTGAGTGGAGGGCTTTACCTGGTACTGAATTCAAGGTAAGTCGTCTTGTTTTATAGGTTTTCATATCAGAGAGGATTTGGGTCCAATTAGTAACTTAATTTAAGAACTTGATAAAGTACTGATCTAACGTTGCATACATGGTGTTCTAGAAGAGATATAGCTGGTAACTTAATAGTTGGCCTTTAGATGCCAGTAGCAGTTACTAGAGAATTAAGACCATTTTCAAGATGTGTGTGTGTGATTGTGTCCAACATATGTGTTGTGGTTTATAGGAGAGAAGGACAAGAAAAAATAAATACACTTAAAAACAATAAGTACACAGAAAAAGGAAACCAGATCTCCCATTACATGCTGCATAATTTATTGCAGGTTAAATGTACTGGACTTTGTAACATGACACTTTATAAAGAATACAGTAGTGTATCAAAATCCTTCATGACTCAAAAACTAATACAAAAGATAAGAATTTGGAAATTTTACCATATTTATTATGGGACTTCAACACAAAAGTAAAAATGGTAAGACTACTGTCTTTGGAGAAAACAAAATATGCAACAAGATGTAAAAATAAAAAGCAAAGATAAATAAAATATGTAAAGCTATAAAAAAAAAAAAAGAAACACCCACACCCACACCTTTTACAATGAAGTCACTGTATCGTATCAACTGAAAGATGTGAGCTTTCACTTTTTGTTCACATTTTGTGTGCATAGACTCAAGACTTAATCTGATCCCCGATTTAGAGAAAAATAACCAAAACACCTTATTATGGAATGCTGGAAGTATAATTCTCTCTAAGCTATGAATACTGTAAAGCCAATACTGATAAGTGAATGCTGTTCCTGTGTGGGTGGTTAGATCTATGTATCAGTCTTTCGTGCCATTTTTATTATAGCACTGATTGCTGCAGTCCTGAAAACATTCTACACTGAATAAAATTCTCTATATTCACATACCAGCCAAAAAAAAAAAAAAAAAAAATGGAGTCAGCTATTCCTATATAAACATAAAAAACAAAACAAAAAAACAAGAAAAGAAACCATGAAAAGTTTGAAGTACACTAATTGGATTTTCTGGAGATCATATATATATATTTCTTTTAAAACGTGGCCCCATTATACTAATAGCAATCTTCAAATACGTTTGAGCAACACTCAACGTACACAATGGGACGATTAGTATTAACAAATGACCTTGCATGTATCTACCAATCCACAAGTGAAACAAGGTCTTCTTAAACCTCTTCTCAGCTCCTTTGGATTTTGCATATGATGTTTTTTTGCATAAGTCACTGCAATAAACGGTGCAAGCTTCATTTCTGTGTTTTAAACATGCATTCAACTAGTTATAGATTGAAACAACTTTATACTTACTCCCTTTTTTATCGTTATAGTTAGCTAAAAAAATTGCAAGACTGTCCACAAAACAGGATTTTCGTTATAAGACAACCACTAGAGTTCCAAGATGTTAAGATATGCAGTAATGGAAATCTTCTTGGATCCTGAATTAGTGTTAGACAAAGTGTTGAGATCATTCAAAAAGGAAGAAACTCTTTGCTGGAGGCATGGAAGCTTCATCACCATCTATTAAGCCTCTCTCTTTGTTGCATATCTTCCATCTTCAAACCTGTGCAAGAGCGTACTATAATTAATAAAGTGTCACATTTGTCATTACCAAAAAAACCAAACACAAAACAGGGTCTCTGATTGGAAAAACAAAATAAATAAAATAAGAGATTCGTACACTATCCCATACAATCTCTCCAATGATCCTTAAGTCTCCTGACAGACACTTCAATCTAATGTGCCGTCAATGAATCCAGTGTATGCACACAAGCCTCTGTGACAGTGTTCAATACAATAATCTGATTGCCATAATGAAAATAGGTTATGGCTCCCTGTAAGACAAATGAACTTATTTCAATACTAAACAATAGATGAGTCTTTCAACCCTCCCCCCTCCCCCCTTGCATACACAGTATGGCTCATGAAAGTATCACTTCCCATAGTTTCACCTGACTATAGACTGATTAATATTGTAAGCATTGTCTGCATTGATAAATAGCACATAATTTAGCAGCTGGATTAGGCCTGTTTAGTTGCAAGAACCAGATAGTTGTTTTAAACAAAATGTTCTTAGAACATTTTTTTTTTTTTTACTTTTTAAGACTTAAAGGAACACATGTATCCCTAAACTCTATAGTGTTAAAAACACCATCTATTCCCAGTGGTCCCCCTTTTCTCCCCTAAATATAGCAAAATCTTACCTTTTTTCAGTCTGCTGATGGCTTTGCTCTGCCTCCTTGGCTCACATCATAGGAGCAGAGCCAACACAAGCCAAACACAGCCCTGACCAAGCATTATCTCTTCAGAGATGGATTGAATCAATGCAGCTCTATGAGAAAAGTTCAGTGTCTGCATGCAGAGTGTGGAGACACTGAATGAAGTTATCCCTAGGCTGTAATGTAAGCACTGCATTTTCTCTGAAAAGACAGTTTACTGCAAAAAGCCTGAATAGAATGATTATAATCACCAGAACAAATACAATAAGCTGTAGTTGTTATAGTTAGTGTCCCTTTAAACTAGTTGCTGTCACACCACACTAGCAGATTACACCATTCTACTGCTGAGAGCAGTCCACGCGACTTGCACAACAAAACTGAATGCCTATACGCTTTCTTTACTGCTACAACACACAGCACAGGTTTCTGGCAGCCCACCCATAAATAGGCAAACCAAAAGCAATTGAATGGTGCCTTCTTCTTTAAGTGCTCTACGTTTATCTAGGAGTCTAGACAATTCTACATATATTTTTAGATCACAGTTTCCCTACATGTTCTCCAAAAAGGACTTTAGTCCCAGCATTTGAGCAGGACAATGAACATTAAAATTACACAAACAGGTATCCAAACTTTCTTTCAAATTTGTGTATAGCACACAATATGCAATCATTAAATAAATCCAAAACAAATGTAGAAAGAAACAAAAACACAAAACACAACCAGTAGGATGCTTGAAACATATGTACAGTGATGTGAAACAGGACTTATTGTTAATGGAATATTTTATATTTTTTTCCTGGTTTTCTGTTTGGTTATCACTTTATTAAGGTGAATGAGCTCTCCTGACTACATGGAAAATGTTAGGCTAAAACAAATTGGTTACTATAATTAACCCCATTTAGGTTTAATTTTGCTACAACTCAGATTTTGGCGAGTAAATTATTGTAGGTTTATTCACTAAAATTGGGGACATTCAACCATAGATTGTGTGTGAAAAAAGCATGGGAAACAAGTAGGGAGAAGCAGTTGACAGAAATGAGAGGGGGGAGTGGGACCGGAGAGAGAGAGGACTGGGACAGGAGAGGGACACCACAAAACCTTAAAATAATGGAACATGTGCCGTAAAACTGCCAGGCATTTACATTTCCCAATACTGCACAGATCTTGTGTAGATATTTACATTCGTTAGCAGTTAAATCAATCTGGAAATATAACCAGGCAAGGCAATGTAAATGGATCATGACATGGTGATGCACATATTGCTCAGTAACTTACACTGGTAGGCTAATCACCATTGTGGGGGGACATAACTATAAGTAGGAGTTCCCGGTGGCCGATAAGCAGGCATAGTGACTTGATGAGGGGGTACCGGAGTTGGTGAATGGGTTGTCAACAAAGTACCTAAGAAAAAAAAAAAAATCCAAAAATCATCCCTCAAAATATTTTGAATTTAACAAATCAGTTTTCCCCTAAAACACAAAAACAGCTACAAAGCAGCAATAACTTAAAGTAAATCTGTAACCACTTTAGATACTTATTTCTAAGGAAATGGCAGTCATAACCGGTTTATGCATCAGCATATAATAAAAATAAATAAATGTTAAATAAAATTTAGACTGGCTCACATCACAGGTTCTCTGCAGACCTGTATTTCTTTATTATTAACAGTTATTAAAGTTTAAAATGGTGATAAACTTAAACAAAGCCCAAAGACAAAAAAAGGATATAGCAAAGGCAAGTGCAATTGTATTCCAGGAAGCATACATTCAAGTTTCAGAGTGAAACATGCTTCCAATCTGTATCAAGCTACAAGAAACGAGTCGCTAGTTTTTACATGGAATTAAAGGGACACTCCAGCTTGCTGAAGTGCTTCAAGTGTTTTTACAATTTTACAAAAAGTGAAGATTTTAATAGAAGTTGGCACTTTTATAAATGAACCATGGTAACCCACCTGGCTGTCAGACAACCTGTCCTTACAATAAAAACCGAATAGAGAAAATAAAGATAAATAAAGTTACTTGGCCACTCTCTCAAATCCCAATGAACATTTAAATATCTGTCCTGTTACATCCTGGTCGCTTAGCTCAAGGGACCTAAAATCAAGAGGCAGGCAACTGCTCTAAACAACTGCCAGCCAAAGACTTCTCATTGAGCAGCATTGGGAAGTCTGTGATTGGATAGCCACAGATAATTTGGGAGGGCTTGCAAAGGCTGCAGACAAGAAAACCTGTTTTTAGAACAAACCCAAAAATAAACACATTTATGACATATCTTTTATTGGGATTATATTTACTAAACAGTGATTTATTTTTAGAGTTGGGCAGTGGAATGTCCCTTTAACCAGGTTGCCGCAATCTTTCATTTCAGAGAGCCATAAGGTCGGTGTACATTGTGAAAGGGTCAGGATCTATGTTCAGCTTACCTTAATTATGTAAAGACAAACCAATAGGTTTATATTTGAGGTTTCAACAGAATTTGAACTTTTGCTTTTATCAAAACAAGCAAAGGTTAAAAGAATGATTTAGTTTTAAACACAGATTACCATGTTCTGATAGGCAATATATTATGAGATTACTGGGTTCTGTTAAGCAGAGCATTTTTCCGCAATACACTACAAAACATTTTTAACTTATCTGTATGCAATTTAATTCTTACAGTGTTGTGATCTTTTATGAAGAAGAATTTTCCTGGAACAGTCAAATATTTGCATATATTGGTTTAAAACTTAACGTCTAGTTTGCTAGTAATCTAAGATATGCACAAAAAGTCATAGGTACCTGCAGACATCGCCATTGTGGTCCCAGCAACCATTCCCATGGCCATTCCATTACCTCTAGGCTGAGGGATCTGAGCAGGATACATTGTTGCTGGCATTCCATTGGGTTGTACAACAGTAGTGTGATGAATTACATGAGGAGGGGCTGCATACAGAGGCTGTGCATAGTATGCTCCTTGCTGTAATGATAAATGGGCAATCAGCAGAGAGCTCACTTTTAGTAACTATACATTACCGAACGCAATATGTGGAGTTTGTGCATGAGCAAATAAATGTACTAAAATAGTGTACATTTTGTACAGTTTAGACAAATTACACAAAAGTAATGTACTATGTAGGTATGAAAAAAAAGAAAAATGAAAAAAATATGAAAAGCAGATAAATTCAATTTTAAAAAAAATTCTTTATTTTCGTTGTGCATATTATATAGTAATAGCATGATGTGACACGTGCGTCAATGAAACACTAACAAACAATAGGTGTCATGGTTAGGGTGCACATAAGGTTATGACCCAAGGTAACCATGAGGAGATAGACATTGATTACTTTAATGTAAAGGAGATTGTGAGGAGTCTTCCTAGGGAGAGCTTAGTGGCATATGTGTGGTCAGAGGCAGGACCGAGGTATTATATGCAAGATTGCTGACTTGTAGGTAGTGCAGTACAAGATGGTGTCTGGAGGTGATTGGGTTGTATGCTTGTGTCGACATATTGACTAGGAGATTGCCTTACAATGGTCTCACCTTTGTTAGAAGATATGGTAGTTAGGATCTATTGAGGGCTTACTTGTGAGGGGTGGTCGTCCCTGACCAGTGGGAGGGTCGGGGAAGGAGGGGTTTGTTTTAGCTTAGATTGGCATGGGTTGCAAGACTGGTGTGGGTCTGTCATGCTATTCGAGGGGGTGGGAGGGGGGGTCTCCATTGGTAGACGTCTCCCCGTAGTTGCGGAGTGTAATTTGGTGCTCTAGAACAAGAAATGAGGAAGAGGTGTAAAAGAACAATGTGAACATGTAAAAACCATAAACCTAAACAAACAGCTTGGGCTGTGGCTTGTGCTGCCGATTTTTGGGGTCGTGGTCTGCCTCCTCAGTGTTTCCGGTTCCATTTCTAGGCACAAACGGCACCACTTGGTTTGCGTCCCAGGTCTGGGTAGGCGTCTGGGCAGGGGTAGTGGGTGTTAAGTTCATGGGGCCCAGGAGCCTCAATTTCAGAGGAGAGTTTGTGTGTGACGATTAGCGATCTTTGTGCCGCCCATCTGTAGGTCACTCTATAGGTGCCCTGTAAGTTGGCTCAGTGATTTGCGCCACTGAAGTGTGGCTCTGGTTAGATCCTGGTAAAAGGAAAAGTCCTCGAACATGAGTGGGGTTCGACCCATCAGGGCAGCCATGATTTGGGCCTTCTGTGGTAAGGAGCAGCGCAGGATTACATCCCCATCCAGGGGTGTTGTTGGTGATGCCCTTGTAGGGAGGCGGTATATACCTGCCAGGGTGATCTTTTTGGCTACCGACGGAGGCAGTACGGAGGCAAAGAGTCTTCTGATGTAGTGCGGCATTTCTTCAACAGTTACTGTTGCGGGTATGCTCCCGATTTTAATGTGGTTCCGTCTATATCTATCTTCTTGGGCTGACAGCTGCAGTGAAAATGCCTGCTGGGTGGATTGTAGTTGTAGGATTGTCTTGTTCATTGTAGACATTCCATTCTGCATATCCTGCATAGCACCCTCTGCTGTATACCTGTATGGAGAAGTGCTAGCTCTGCTGCCAGGATTTTCTGGAATTCGTGCAGCATATTCTGCAGGTCTTGTTTTGTAGCAGAACCATCTGATGTGGCAGTAACTGGGAGTTGGGAGCTCCGAGGTGCAGGCTGTTCCGGTGGCTTGGCCTGGACTGGCTGTGGAGAGGGAACAGAGAGAACTGGGCCTTCTGCAGCGGCCATCTTGGGGCGCGCTTGGCGCTGTAGTAGTGTCCCTATATAGCCCTGATCGGCCGGAATACCTGGCTGAGGTTTTTGGGATCGTCTCCCCATCGCTGCTTCAGCGCTGTGGGGGGCTGTCGTGTTCTTCCCCATGGCAGCGGGAATGTCGCTCAGACGTGACCCGAGGAGGAAAGTCTTCAGACAGGGGAAGCCGAGGGCGCACAGGCTCCCGGCTTGCGTTTCACTTTGGTCTACTTCGGTGCGTACATAAAAGGCATCGATTGATGCGGCAAGGGTTCCTGAGGTTGATGTGAGTGGTTTGGAGGGTGAAGGGCTCCCGTGAGAGGTCTTCATTTGTAAAATAGTGTCGGCAGATCGGGAGCTGTTGGAAATGAAATCTGTCTCGTCTTGCTCCCAAGCTCCGCCCCCGTTGATTCGATATTTAAAGGAACATTCCACATGCTGTAGTGGATATGGTGCCTGGAGTGCACTGGCACAACCTTTGTAAGAAATCAAAACAGTTTAAATTTTTGCTTCTAGCCACCATTAACGCTGGAGAGGTGGAAGATTCTATGGAACATTGATTAGCTCTCCTGAGAGCATTAGCCGGTGAACTAAGCCCTGCACCAGTAGAGAGCTTCCGCCTCTCCATGGAAAGTAGTGCAAGAGGGGAGCGGTGTCCGATTGATCCCAAGTAGGATTTTATTCTATTGTAAAATAGTTTCACACCATATCGTGGTGGGATTCCAGCACACTCCTGGCACCATAACCACTACAGTGCTTTTTAGTGGAGATTGTGCTTGCAGTATTCCCTTAAAGGGACATTCCAAACCCCTAAAGCACTTTAGCTTGCTGAAAAGCTTTATGGGTGAAGAGTGTCTACCCCCTCCCCCCCACCCCCATTTTTTTAAAGAGTGTAGACTTCAATAGAAACTAAAACTTTGATAAACTGTACTGGTTACACCACCTGGCTTCTCTAGCAACCTGTCCTGTTACTTTTTGGTTTGTTTAACTCAGTGGAGAAAAACTCAAGAGGCAGCAACTGCTCAGAGCACAAGCCTTGCAAAGACTTCTCATTGAACTGCATTAAGTAATTGGATAGCTACATAAAGTCTGTACAGGGTTAGAAGGGGAAGGTTTGCAAAGGCAGCAGACAAGATAAGTGTAGTTTTTGCATGCTGTTTGTAGATATAACTCCAATGGGAAAAAAATAAAGCAAAATTAAATGCATGCAAGTTTTTATTGGGGGTATATATACAAAACAGTGATTTTTTATTTTGGCAATGGAGTTTCCCTTTAAATACACCAAGTATCAACTCCACTTTTAATATATAGCTTTGGTATTTTTAAATTCAGATTTGTCCTTTGAAAGTGCTTTAAAAAGGCATAACTTGTTATAAAATAATCTCAGACTTCCCTCACTACAAATCCAGAATTGAGGAGACACTTGCAGTTAAAGCTTTTATTTTACACGTATCCAACATATACTGAACAAAATTATAAACAACACTTGTTTTTGCCCCCATTTATCATGAGCTGAACTCAAAGAGCTAAGCCTTTTGCTATGTACAGAAAAGGCCTATTTCTCTCAAATATTGTTCACAAATCTGTCTAAATCTGTGTTAGTGAGCACTTCTCCTTTGCCAAGATAATCCATCCACCTCACGGGTGTGGCATATCAAGATGCTGATTAGACAGCATGATTATTGCACAGGTGTGCCTTACGCTGGCCACAAATAAACGGCCTCTCTAAAATGTGCAGTTTTACTGTATTGGTGGGGTCCAAAAACCAGTCAGTGTCTGGTGTGACCACCATTTGCCACACACAGTGCAACACATCTCCTTTGCATAGAGTTGATCAGCTTGTTGATTGTGGCCTGTGGAATGTTGGTCCACTCCTTTTCAATGGCTGTGTGAAGTTTCTGGATATTGGCAGGACCTGGAACACACTGCCATATACTCCGATCCAGAGCATCCAAAACATGTTCAATGGGTGACATGTCCGGTGAGTATACTGACCATGCAAGAACTGGGAAGTTTTCAGCTTCCAGGAATTGAGTGCAGGGCCTTGCAACATGGGGCCGTGCATTATCATGCTACAACACGAGGTGATGGTCATGGATGAATGGCACAACAATGGTCTCAGGATCTCCTCACGGTATCGGTGCATTCAAAATGCATCTGTGTTCGTTGTCCATAACATACGCTTGCCCATACCATAACCCTACCGCCACCGTGGGCCACTCTCCACAACGATGACATCAGGAACTGCTCACTCACACAATGCCATACACGCTGTCTGCCATCTGCCCTGTACAGTAAAAAAACGGGATTCATCCGTGAAGAGAACACTTCTCCAAAGTGCCAGATGCCATCAAATGTGAGCATTTGCCCACTCAAGTTGGTTAGGATGACGAACTGTCAGGTCGAGACCCCGATGAGCTTCCCGGAGACTGTTTCTGACAGTTTGTGCAGAAATTATTTGCTTATGCAAACCGATTGTTGCAGCAGCTGTCCGGGTGGCTGGTCTCAGACGATCATGGAGGCGAATATGCTGGGTGTGGAGGTTTGACTGGTGTGGTTACATGTGGGTCTGCGGTTGAGGCCAGTTGGATGCACTGTCAAATTCTCTAAAATGCCTTTGGAGACTGCTTATGGTAGAGAAATAAACATTAAATTCACAGGCAACAGCTCTGGTGGACATTCCTCAAAACTTGCGACATCTGTGGCATTGTGCTGTGTGATAAAACTGTACATTTTAGAGTGGCCTTTGCTGTCTAATCAGCATCTTGATATGCCACACCGGTGAGGCGGATGGATTATCTCAGCAAAGGAGAAGTGCTCACTAACACAGATTTAGACAGACTTATGAACAATATTTGAGAGAAATAGGCCTTTTGTGTACATAGAAAAAAAAAAAAGTCTTCGGTCATTGAATTCAGCTCATGAAAAATGGGGGCAAAAACAAAAAAAAAAGTGTTGCGTTTATAAATTTGTTCAGTGTAGTTTCAACATTTTGGCTTACACCTTATTTAAAGCTGCACTTCTATACGCACAGTTGTGTCTCCTCCGTTCTTGGATTTACAAGTACTGGCTGGTTAAAGCAGTGGTAAAATCTTGTAAAGCACAGTGGAATATGTTGGCGGTATATACATTTTGAATGACAATATACCATTATATGAAAACTAATGTACTGTGCAAATTATATATAAGGGAAGAGTCATTGTCCATCCATACAAAGGTTGTTGATAGGGGCCGGTTGGCAAAAAAAAACCCACTAGGGTGGCTAAATACAGTAGTTTGTCTGCCTCCAATCCAGGAGAGCTATAATTCGATTATCAAGCAAAAGAGAACATCTAATGGTAAAAATGTGAACGATCACTTCTTTCCAGCTAGAGGAAACGATAGAGAACACCAAGTTCTAAAATGGCATGGTGACTGCACTTCTCCATTACCTGTAGGGGCATTCCTGGTACATTTGATTTAATAAACAAGTTATGCGGAGGGAGGGGGTAGGTGTAAAATTGTGATTGAAAACCCCTTCCACCTGAAGTCTGTGGATAGCTAATACAATGTTAAACAAAAATCTGCACACCAGTCAAGCCATAAGACTTGCTTTTCCCAAAGAAATCACAAATCTGCAGTGATGGCTTGACTGGTGTGCAGATTTTTAACATTGTATTAACTATCCACAGACTTTAAAAATCACAATTTTACACCTACCCCCTCCCTCCGCATAACTTTTTTATTAAATCAAATGTACTAGGAATGCCTCTACAGGTAATGGAGTAGTGCAGTTCAGGTGATTTGCTTGGGATCATTGTGCTGATGCATGACCCAATTTCAGCCAAGCTTTAGCTGTCAGACAGATGGCTTCACATTTGACTCTAGAATACTTTGGTAAACAGAGTAGTTCATGGTGGATTCAATGAATGCAAGAGTCTCATGTCCTGTCGCTGCAAAACAAGCCCAGATCATTAACCCACCACCACCTTGCTTGACAGTTGATATGAGGCCTTTGTGCTGATATGCGGTGTTTAGTTTTTGGCAAACGTGGCGCTGTGCATTGTGGCCCACACATGCCTAGTCTGGTGTCATCTGTCCAAAGGACATTGTTCCAGAAGTCTTGTGGTTTGTTCGGATGCAACTTTGCAAACCTAAGCCAACTTTAGAGAGAAAAGGCTGTCTCCTGGCAACCCTTCCAAACAAACCATATTTTTTCCGTGTTTTTCTAATTGTATCATCATGAACTTTAACATGCTGAGGCTTGTAGAGTCTTCGATGTAACTCTTGGGTTCTTTACAAATTCTCTGAGCATTGCCTGATCTGACCTTGGAATATATTTGCTGGGCCACTCCACTCCTAGGATGGCAATGGTCTTTAATGTTTTCCACTTTTGTATAATGTTTCTTAGAGTAGAATGATGGACTTTAAATATTTAGAAATGGCCTTATAACCCTTCCTAGTTTGATGGGCAGCAACACTTACTTCTCTAAGATCATTGCTGATGTCTTTCCTCCTTAGCATTGTGTTAACACACACCTGAATGCTCCAGCAAACTGCTAAAACTTTGGCTTTTATAGAGGTGGTCAATCTAGCGGATCAATTAATCAAGTGCATATGATTAGCAGCACCTGCCTTAAATCCCATGGCAGCATTACAGGTGTACTTCATTTTTCCACACATTGCTTCTAAATTTTGACTAAATAAAACATGACAATGTAAAAGGGAATGTGTTGTTCATGTGAGGTTATGTCCTGATATGCGAAACCATATAATTCAAAGAATTAAAAAAAAAAAAAACACTAAAAAAAACAAACATATATATATATATATATATATATATATATATATATATATATATATCCCATAGACATCTCTCTCTCCTGTATAGATAGATTTACACACAATCAAATCCAGTCTGGAGCATCTATTTAGGCTTTAAAAGCATGCTTTCAAAGATGCATCCTGCATTGATTTTAATTTTGCAAAGCAAAAATGATTTGGCTGGTAAAGATTTTCAGAGAGAAATGTACCTGTGCATATGGGTTTTGTTGTGGATAGGCACTTCGTACTGGGTAAACTGCAGTCTGGTAAGGATTTGGGGATGAGGAATAAGGTGGCACAGCCCCACTGGTGGGTGAACAGGAGACTTTGTATGGCGTTCCAGGTGTGTATCCTAGATAGAAGGGAGAAGAAAATAAATAAATGCAGCTTTCAGCACTGGAAATTCACACAGACAGAGTCCATACTGTGTTAATTAAGAATACAGATTGTCAACCCATTTCTAAATAAATAACAAACATTAGTCCTATGTCCCATTAGAGATGACATTGTTGTACAAATATGTGAATACTAGAAAAGGTATCATGTAACAATAAGGGAGGTTCCATATAGCAACACTTCCATATAATAAAAAAAAAATCAAAAAAAATCGTAGAGGGCAAATAGTCAATGCTGATCAAAACACCATTATACTGAAAATTAGCCATACTATATCTATATATCTATATTATTCGCTCTCTTTTTTTTTTAAATGGTCCCTAAGCCTTTCATGGTATAATAGATAGTTTAATCAATTGACTGAATGCGGTTATCGAGCAAACCATTTTTCAAAAGGTATATGAACATTTAGCAATTAAAATAGAAAGAAATGCAGATCTTAAAAGGACACCCAAATTAGAAAGGATATATCTTGAGGCAGGACCATGGAGGGACCTAAACGTTAATCATTGATGTCATTTTCACCATTTGAAAATAAAAGTTAGTTTGTTGGATTAAATCCTGAGTGTGCACCAATTTTTCAAGGTTTTCTTACATAAAGTGTTGAAAAGCAGTAAGGAAATTATTAAGATAAAGGGTCAATTTACGTGCGTGTGCGCACACATACATAGACATATACATACATACACATATATACATATGTTTAAAAAGCTACTTTAACTTTCACTATGTGCTGCAAATCTCAAGGGTTTGCATCATCTGCAGGGAATTCTCACTAAACCAGTGGCTCAGTAAATATGAATGCTTCCAATGTCTTTTATAGCTGCTGAGCATATACTACAAACACATGATAATACAAAAAGTTATAAAGTGACTAAGCGCACATAAAAGGAATGAATTTACCTTATGAAATATTTAAATATATATAACATAGGTTCCTCTTGTAGAACAATTCTTTAACCTATAAAATAGATCTACATATACATAGTGTAATCTGTATTTATATAAAATATAATGGATAGAAGTAGTCTATAAACTCACAATTTTTTTAAGCCTATTAAAAGTTGGCTCTGAACTTATAGAGCATTTCATCTCACTCCACGAGATAAGTAAAGAGATATACTCAGCAGTCACATCCACAGGAACTTAGTGATGTCAGCAACAAAGATTCCAGGATCCCAGGTGACAAATATAAAAAGGATTTACTTAACTTTTGTATATAAAATAAATAAAAGCACAACGCGTTTCAACCTCTGTAAGGTCTTCCTCAGGTGCATATACTGTACACTGAACATGTGATCAATAGATATATACATATATCTATCACTTAATTACAGCTGGTGTTAATTGGGGTACAAATTCCCTGCCACTTCCAAATATGGTCATAACCGGATATGGTTCGCCATCCCCAATATGGCGCCATTTCCGGTTTACGACCTTAACCTATGCCCTCCCACACATACAAGACCAATGATTGTGTCCATGTAGTCTCTTGCGTTCCGTCACTTCCTAGGAAATCATCATATAATAGAGAGAGCCTAATAAACCATCCAGGCACCACCATAATGATAATATCCGACCATATAGAGTCCAGAATCCTGTTACCCCTAAACATCGCCCTACGTATAGTGAGAAAGTCCAAGACATGGAAGTCCCTATAACAAAATACCATCACAGAATAAACAACCTTTTCAAATTCCTCTAAAAAATCGTTTTGAACAGTTACAAGAAAAAAGGGATGAGGAGGTGCCTTTTTTAGAACAAAGATCAAGATGGGAAAGTTGTTTAAAAGACACCCCAAGAAAAAGATAAAGCTTTAGAAGAGGAAAGAGAGGAGGGAGAGCTTTTTGCAGAAATAAGAAAAAGACCAGCAATATAAAAGTGTTTAAATTTATCTTAAAAAAGTGCTCTCACTTTTTTTAGACAAATTAAACACTTTTATATTGCTGGTCTTTTTCTTATTTACGGGGTTCAAATTTGCACCACATTGTTCAGTGTATAAATTTGAAACTTATCTTGATATAAATAGGCATACAAGGAAATTATGTTTAAAAATATTTTTTAAGAGAAAAGAAACAAACACCTTTTAATCAGAATACAATTCAAAGTGATAAGTCAGATATTATACATTCAAATTTAAAGAGCAAATCCAATTACCCTTTATTTATAAAATCGGAAAAGATATGAGTTTTTGAACGTGCATGCCTTGAGGGAAATTTATAAAATAAAACCCTTATCTATATAATATTGTAGTAATATGTAGTAATTTTGGATAAAGTGCAATATTTGGAAGAGATAAAACGACAACTAGGGGATACAAATATGTATAAAAAAAACGGAATAAAAGATCCAACAAATGATATTAAAGAATTGTATACAACATATTTGAAAGAAGGACTTGATAATGGTATTATCAACCAAGGTGAAATGTCCTTATTACAAGAACATCCTAGAATACCAGTAATATATGCAAGTAATATACTTCCAAAATACATAAAGACCCCATAAATCCCCCTGGAAGTCCAATAATATCAGGTATTAATTCAGTCTTATCACCTCTTTCTCAATACATCAACTTTCACCGTCAACCTTTAGTGAAAAAGAGCCAATCATATCTCCAAGACACGATGAGTTTAATATTTTAAAGGAATTTAAACGGGAAATGGACTACTTCTTGGTTACATGCGATGTAACCAGCCTATACACAATAATTGAGCACAAGAAAGGATGTGAGGCTATAAAATGTTCCCTAGACGAATCAAATCTTTATAAAGATACACAGAGAGATTATATTTTACGGTGTATTAATATGATTCTTGAAAATAATTATTTTTGGTTTGAAAATGATTTTTATATGCAAATGAAAGGAAACGCAATGGGGACCAGGTTCGCACCGTGTTATGCCAATTTGTTCATGGCGCATTGGGAAAAACAATTTATCTATCAAGACCATGAATTCGGTGCGAACCTGGTCCTGTATAAAAGATATGTAGATGAAATTTTTTTGATTTGGAAGGTATCATATTTTATTTAATACTTTTTTTTAATACTCTTAATACCAATGACTGTGGAATTATTTTAACCAAGAATATTAGTAATAGATTTTTTTAGATTTAAATATATTTCAAACAACCAGATAATGACTCGAAGTTTTTTTTAAACAGGTTGATGTTAGTTATATTGAAATAAAAAGCTGTCATCAACCTAATATCCCTAAAGGACAGTTTTTAAGAATGAGAAGAAATTGTTCACATCTCCCTGATTTTTTATTCACACGCATGCACTTTAAAAGAACAATTTGTAGAAAAAGGGAATGATGAGAAAACTCAAAAAAAAAAAAAAAAAAACAGATCAAAGATATTGCTGCTATGGAGAGATCACCGCTTTTAAAATATGGGAAAAAGAATACTAAAGATATCTCTAGAGACCAAATCCCATTTATTTTTAACTATTCTAGCGATGTGGGAAAAGTATAACACATTATTAAAAAAAAATACAAAAATTGGCATATCCTGAGACAGGAACATGAAATAAAAATTTATTGGTGAAAAACCTTAATTTATCTTTAGGGGGGCTAAGAACTTCAAACAAAAATTAATAAGAAGTTTTATAGAGAGAGAGAGACCCCAAAGGTTACAAATAACTTTTTAACTACGTGGACACAAAACCAAACAGGCTTTTATCACTGTGGTTCGTGCAATGCATGTACCAATTCAAACATAACTAATAAAAATGTGAAAGAATGTGTTTCCACGGTAACCAATAAGAAATATAAAATTAAAACCTTTATTTCCGGTCATACTAAGAATATAATCTATTTACTAAAATGTGCATGTGGGTACCAGTAGTAAGACATCCAGAATGATGAAAATTAGAATTAGTGAGCATATTAGAAACATCAAGAAGGGTTTTATAAATCAGTGTATCTAAGCACTTTTTTTAAAAAGCACAATTCAGACCCTAGCACTTTAGAATTTTATGGAATAGAATAAATAATCATGGAGAGGGGGTAATTTAGCGAAAAAATTGAGTCTACAAGAATCAAAATGGAATTTTGAAATGAGGACACGAACCCCTTTAGGGCTAAATATAGATTATGAGATTAATTGTATTTTATGATCCTCTTATTTCTATTCCTTTTTCTTATGTGTTGTTTTTTTAACACTATTTATGTTTTTTTTTTTTTTTTTAAATCAGGATTTAGGTGTATCACTGGTTCTTTGTATACCTATATTTATAAAATAGCAGGAAGAGTTGAGATTTTACCACATGACAGGAGGCTTCATATTTGCATATCTTTCTTTACTGAAAACTCCAGCAGCATAGAAACATAACAACCAATCAGAAAAAAGTTATGATGCCCATAAAAGGCCCTGTCTATGACATCACTTCCTCTTTCTTTGCTGCTCCAGCCATACATCAGGTCAGAGTATTTTACCTCTCTGGTAGATTCTTAATTTACACAGTTTTTTTGATTGTCATACCACTATATATTACTCTATTTATTGCTAACACCTGCTACCTTGGCCCCCCTTATTCCTGTCCCTTCACTGTACTCCTCTGTTTTTTTTTTTTTTGTTTGTTTTTTTCCCCTTTTTATTTCCACCTTACTGCCTGGTATCCGCAGGGGACTGTATGGGGACGGGTGGAGGGAGGCTGGGGTCAGTGTTTGTGTTGCATTTATCCCCTTTGTTTTGCACCGCGCGACCGCGATCCGCGGCGCACCTTCACATGTGGGCGGCAGCCATCTTGGATCTCGCGGCTCGCGAGATACCCGACGGCCGCCTTCCCTGCTTGCTCGGCGGATCGGGAACTCACCCGACCGCCGGGCTCCACAGTGCATGCTCTCCCAAGTGAACAATGGGAGAGTGCAAGCTGGATTTCAGTTTTTTCTCCATGTATTCTTTCAATGTATTTTGCCACAGTGCCTGCCAACAGTGTCTGCCAAACAAATACTTACATGCAGGCATTAAAGGAGATTATGTCTTTGTACCTTACTCAGGATCTATACCCTATACAGGGTCATACCATATTACTATACCCTGCACAGGGTCATACTATATTACTATATCCTACAGGAATCACCCGATCACCGCGCCCTGCATCTGGATTAACCCCTTCAGGGATCCCCCTCTCTGGGCACATTCATTTATTGATACAATTATAATTTTTTTTTATTCTCATGGATATATCTCTCATGGTGCCTTACACTGGATGATTATATGTTGAGCAGGCACACAATCTATGTATTATTGTGAAGCCATACAATATCACAGTCGTTATACAAAACATATACTGTACCTATAACAAGATCAACTATATCACTGTACCCTAGAAGGGCATATTGTGTTACTGTACCCTACAAAGGGCATATTATTTTATATTATTGTACCCTACAGAGGGTCATATTATATTACTGTACCTGATGGTGCAAATTTATGTGGGTGTCCTCTGGGTATTTTTTCATGGCACACCACCTGGGGTGACCCCCCAGATATGCATGCAAGGTCACTGACAGACCACTACCTTTGATGTGGGTGTCCTCTGGGTTACCATGGCACACCACCCGGGGTGAACCCCGATCATATGCACGGAGGCCTACGCCGCAACTTTACCACTGATTACTACAGACATATATGAATGTTTAAACACTGCCTGTCAGTTTTACATTAAAGCAACAGTACCATGCCGGATGCGATTTGACGGCAGGATCAAGAAGAAAACTGAGTGTATTGCGGTGTACCCTTCACAGGGATACATATATGTATATTTATTGTGCCTAGTGTACATATTGAACGTGGGTGTCCTCTGTAATTTTTCATGGCACACCACCTGGGATGACCCCCAGATATGCATGCAATGCTTGTAAGGTGCCAATAATTATAATATGGGTGTCCTCTGGGTTACCATGGCACACCACCTGGGATGAACCCAGCCTAATAGACATGGGTCCTGCGGCCGCAGACCTTATGCGCCTATATATAATAAGCCTGTATAGTTAAAAACCGTGCATACAGCTCTGGCGTACATTTGTGGTAAACCCGGCTAGCCAGACCGACACCACTACCAGTCAGTCGCGCCTGCACCACGGCTCTCAGTAGCCAGATTAAACTAATAGAGGTGACCCCTCTATACTTGGCACGAGTATTCATACTCTCAGACATACTAAAGCAGGCAATTCAAACCGTTTTACCTGGGTGATCCCCAGTTCTACCAGGAGTCTAACACCCCTACGTGCTGACCCTCACACTATCTCCCAACAGGACGGGAACGAGTCATGGTGGACACTCTCAACGTTCCCAAGATTTCTAGGCAATGCTAAACGCCACAGTAACGGCCTCAGTGGAGAGGGTTCTGTTATGAACTCTACCCCACACTGCTTGATGGAGACCTCAGGCCCACAAGCCTTCAAGTCAAAACGGCAAGGGAAGGGCTCCAGTCCCCCTGCCGCTAAGGTCAAGGGCAAGACGCCCATCGATCAGACCAAATAGGCGGAGCACAGGGAATCCAAACCTCGTCCGCCACAATCTTCCGACAAAGAAGACTATTACCCACCACGTACTTTGGACATGGTAGATGAGCGACACGAAGACAGCTCACCGTCTGAGGAAATGGAACGGCAAGACCTTCCCCACACTTCCTCGAAGTACGTTAGGGAAACCTTAATCTGTGACGGCGGCTGAGGCAGAGATAACTGTAGCGGCACTAAACCAGAGTAGCCGAAGACGGAACGTTCCTGGACGAACACTATTGGCTGCGCAACCCTCGGGGGATGGAAGGATGCGCACGCCTCAAGACCGAGTTACCCCAGGGTACACAACTCAACCCTACCACCTCCAAAGAATGGTCTCAATGCTCGATATGCCTCCTGGGCAACGTAAATGACGCACTATGCGCCGACAGACGCAAATCTGTACTGGGCCGCATCGACAACACACTATTGGGCTTAGGAACGACAAGAATTCGGCCAAAAAGCACAAGGCCTACTATTCGACGTAGTGTTCATTGCAGTACTCAAAAAACACGTGAATTTATTCACCACACTAAATTAAACCCAGACCTCGCTAAAACAAGTCTTCCACAACCCTACGGGGAAAGGTGTTTCTGGGAGGACTGGTCGGTAGCTGAACTGAGCCACCAGCCACTCCTGGGCGACAGGTTCCAGATCGTATACACAGTCCTCATATTTCTCCCATCTACTACACAAAGGAACCCATCCGCTTCATCTACTAGTGTGTCAACCTACATAACTAACTGTTTCCAATATTATGACCGGCAACCTGTCTCTGTTTTACAGAATTGGGAGACGACTACCAAAGTCACCTGGGTTCTCCAGACAGTACAAGGCTATGTCATAGAGTTTTATCACAGCCGTGCAGGTCGCCCCTTCACCTCCATTACGCACGCTGGCGGAACAGGAACGCCTTGTGGACAAGAAAATCTGCACCCTCTTCAGGAGGGGCGCAATTCAACATGCACCGGAGGGGAAGGCCTCCCCAGCAAATTTTTCCTGGTCAAGAAGAAGCCAGGAGACTACATCAATGGAACTCCTACATGGTATACAAATGCTGCAAGATGGATGAAATTCGTCTTCTACAAGACCTCCTAGGCGATAACGACTGGTTTACATATCTGGACCTCAAGGACGCACGCTTGTCAGTACTGCTGAAGTTTTCCTCCGATTCCAATGGTGAGGACAAACACGGCAGTTTACGACTCCGTGGTGCTCGCGAACCTACTGTAACCAGTGAGGGCACACATCCGTAAATTTGGGCGTGCGATGCCTCTTATACCTGGAAGACTTGCTGATTCTTTACGAATCCAGGCTACGTTTGCAGACAAATTTGTCGTTCACTTTCGGGACTCCATGTGTTTTTTGTTGTACACAGACAAAGATCGCTTCCCCATCTGAATCGGGCCAGTTCCTCGGTTTCGACATCAGCTTGGAGAACTACGTTCCGCGTCTGTCTACGGCAAAGAGCGCCTCTATAAGGATAGCTGCCGGATTGTGGGATTCCTCTCCTCCTCTCCTCCTCCATACAAGCGTTATTCCCTGGCCCACTACGACTGATGGTGAGATACGTACGCACCGGTCACTCATACGACACTGGATCCCACTGTCAGCGGAAGTGAGGATGGAATTTCGATGGTGATTACTTCACATACAAACTTGGATTGGCAAAACGACCTTTGACTCTTCCTTCGGATACGGGGCGATGGATGAACCCCTGCAAACGCGACCCAGCCGTTCTCCACAATAGCAAGGGTGCTTCGATACACACACACACCCACAAGATATCGCTCCTGCTCATGACACCCCTCGGTCAGGGCCAACTGTGATTTCCCGGATCGCCTGGAGATGTCTCGCGAAGACCCTCTACAACTCCCTACCTTCCCTCTACTTCTGACGGGACCTCGAGGGGAAGCTCACTCCCTTGTCATGGAAGGACAACTGGCACTATTTGCCTGGACGGCTTCAGGGGCTCCTGGTCAGTTCACGACCTATTGCATCAACTAAGACCTCCTATGGGACTCATAGGCTCCCGGCACCAGGAAAGGCTATATTTCTGCCTGGTCGGCCTGGAGTGATTGGTGTGTGGAAAGGGATTCCGATCCCTTTACCGCACCTGTCCCACTGATCCTCAACTATCTGTCACACCTGGTCTCGTTGGGTCGGTCATATCGATCCCTCAACGTGATCAGATCCGCCATATCGGCGGCGCACGTTCCGGTACAGGGCAGACCAGTAGGTCAAGATACACTGGTTTGTCGACTACTGCGGGGTGCCGAATTGTCGAGATCCCTGCACCCAAATATTCACGCCTCTGGCAGGTGGATGTGGTGCTGAGATTCCTTAGGGAATGGCCGGACAATCCTTGTTTGTCACTGAAGCAACTTTCAGCCAAACTAGCCCTCTTATTATGCCTCGCCTCATTTAGACGGTGGCGGACGTTAGGGCTTGCGATATGGATGGTTTCTCTCTCACACCAGACGGGGTTACCTTTACCATGTCGAGACAAACTAAGTCTGATTCGTCTTCAGTGTCATACCCATGCTTTGTGTCAGACGCCACACTATGCGTGGTCAGAACGCTAATGGGGTACACCAATATCTCTACCCCCTTCGAACTCATTCGACGGATCACCTTCTGACTTCTTACGTGAACCCTCATGGACCGGTGTCTACCGCAACACTGGCCAGATGGGTCCGCTGGTTTTTGTCTTTAGCGTCGAACCTTGTTTCGGAGCCCACTCGGTCAGGGGAGCGGCGGCCTCGCAAACCTTTTCGGCCGACGCTTCCCTAGCCGACATTATACGCTGCGCGGACTGAGCGCGAGAGAGTACGTTTAGAAAATTCTATTTTCAGCAAACATCTCATGCTTCCTTCACATTGGTCAATTCAAAGCTTTAAAAATGCAAATATGAAGCCTCCTGTCATGTGGTAAAATTGAAGATTATATTAGCTTTAGTGTACTAATAATCTTAATTTTAGTAATGACAGGAGGCGAATATTTCCCACCCTATAGGATCCCTCCCATGTTTCTCGTGTTGAACAGAATATGTCCTTTATGTTCAGGAAGGTAAGTACGTATGGTTTGTATGTTTGCTACTTAGACCTGTACCTTGCTGGTCTTGTATTGGCTGAATATTAGACATGAACCTTGCATTATGTTGTGTTTATAGATCCTTAAATATCATTGCGTTAGAATAAATATATATTGATATGTTTCACATTCTAATGTTCGTTGGTATATCAGATGCTTATGCTTATTGTATGCGGACAAGTTATCACGCCAGATACCTTTCACCTTTTCTTTTTCTTGCAGCGTGAACGTCTTCTCATCGAGACAAAGATTCACCTTCCATACCTCTGCATCGCGGAACTAATGGAGTTGGATATTCTAATATGTTGTTGAACTGTTGACGTAATATGATTATGTCTCTTGTTGTTATTTATTGTTTCGCTTCAAAGAAAGAGGAAGTGATGTCATAGACAGGGCCTTTTATGGGCATCATAACTTTTTTCTGATTGGTTGTTATGTTTCTATGCTGCTGGAGTTTTCAGTAAAGAAAGATATGCAAATATTCGCCTCCTGTCATTACTAAAATTAAGATTATTAGTACACTAAAGCTAATATAATCTTCAATTATTCATTATCTTTTATTTCCATTTTTTAGCAGTTTTTATAAAATAAATTATATATATTTAATATATTTTTGTTAAATTTTGTCTTTATTCTTTCTATTTTTGCATATATTGTATGGACATTATGGGCACCTATGCCCACTTCCAAAATGGACCCTAATCGTTATATACCACCCCTTTGGGAGGGCTACAGTGGAAAGATCGCCGCAATGAGAATACGTAATAGGAAGTGACGTCAGAACAATGCGTCACCGGAAGTGACAACGCATTGGAGGTCAGAAAAATGTCACCGGAAGTGTGGGAGGGCATAGGTTAAGGTCATAAACTGGAAATAGCGCCATATTGGGGATGGCAAACCATATCCAGTTATGACCACATTTGGAAGTGGGAGGGAATTTGCACCCCAATTAACACCAGCTGTAATTAAGAGATATCTATATATCTATATCACATGTTCAATATACAGTATATCTTCACCTGAGGAAGACCTTACAGAGGTTGAAACGCGTTGTGCTTTTATTTTATATACTAAAGTTTAAGTAAATACTTTTTACATTTGTCACCTGGGATCTTTGTTGCTGACATCACTAAGTTCCTGTGGATGTGACTGCTGAGTATATCTCTTTACTTATCTCGTGGAGTGAGATGAAATGCTCTATAAGTTCAGAGCCAACTTTTAATAGGCTTAAAAAATTGTGAGTTTATAGACTACTTCTATCCATTATATTTTATATAAATACAGATTACACTATGTATATGTAGATCTATTTTATAGGTTAAAGAATTGTTCTACAAGAGGAACCTATGTTATATATATTTAAATATTTCATAAGGTAAATTCATTCCTTTATGTGCGCTTAATCACTTTATACTTTTTTGTATTATCACGTGTTTTTAAGTGTAATATAGTAACATTGCACTTGTTTTTTAGCAGCACTAATCACTATCTTTGTATATACTACAAACACCTGCTGCCTTGGAGTTTATGGTTTTCTTAATTTGGCACTAAGCAGCAATAAAGAAAAATATTAGATTGAATAAATGGAACTGGTGCATAAGATATGTATCCTCCTAACAGCTCCATTCACAGTAACGTGAATGGAGGTTTAGATACAATCATGCATCTTAAGTTCAAAGCATTTGCATGCAGATGGCCTAACAAGGCACGTCGTATCAGAACTGCTGGAAAGATTGTAGGTTATTTTGGTGCTTGGGTTGTTCCTTGAATTACTCCACATTGAGGTTAGAGATTCCAAAATGTGGATAAACAACAGTTACACAGATTAACAAGTTAAAACAAAAACTGCTAAAAACGAACCCAAGAAAAAAAAAAAAAAAATCAAAGAAAGTGTCAGTTCAGCTACTTTTACCCAAGCTTAGGCACCAAAATTACAGTGTTCTCATGCAACAAAAATCAAGACTGTTTGGGAGTCACCTCTGCACTCTACAAAGATCAGAAAATAAATACTGTGTGTGCGCATGCACATCACATTTGTCATGGTTATGAAAATGCATGCACTTGAACTATACAAGATGTAGGAAGGTGGAATTGTGGAGCAATACTTCTCGTAAAATATATCAGAAGTGTGTGGGTGTCAGGGAGAGAAACAGTCTGTACACAATAGAAAAAATAAAACTTAAAGTTTTTCAGAAACCACTTCCTAGCACCATAAGCACTGCATACACTTGTAGTGGTTGTGGTGATTGGAACTGCTCTTTGAGCACACCGAATTGTAAAATGAAGGATTTTAAAAATTAACATTTACTATAGGATGACAAACTGAAAACAGCACTCAGGTACTTATTTTGCTTTTTAATTGGATTTTCAAGGAAAAGCAATAAATAAGGCTACATATACAGTTTAAGCAAAGCAGGTACCTGAATTTACTGCACCGTTTCTCGCAGCAGAGAACGTGTGCCCGAACATGAACATTTGCACACCCGAAGACATATATGATGGATGTTCTACCTCTGAAAACAAAAGTTGAATTTTAGTTCATTTTAGTAAGTGGGCAAGAGGGTTTCACCTGTTTACAGTAAAATATTTTTGCCACCGTTTTCTATACTATAAATATGATTTTAATGACTAAATTGTGCATATGTAAATCCAGTTTACGAATAAATGAAAGCCACATTAGTTTCATACAGAGACGGTTTTTATAAAAACTTTTTTTCTAACATTATGTTTTCAGATCAGTTTCACATTTTTATAATGTTCGCATGTCATGCAAAAATGCCAGGAATTTAACTTTCTAATGCAGAGGATTTTACCTGTATGTTGTAGCCAAATTTAACAGATGAAAAAAAAAAAATGTTCAGCCAATATCTGTATTTATGCCATTGGCATATAGGCCTTAAAGGGGACCTGTCTCATCCCCAGATAGATTTGTCTTCTATATTTAACAAATAAGTATTTGCAAGGGAAATGTAGGTATCTACAGGCATCACCTCTATTCGAGGAATTAAGAGCCTGTGTCTAATTCTGTCAATTGTTATAAGCTCTGCCCTTTGCACATGTTAGCATAGTGTTAGCATAGAGAGGAGTAGAAACAAACACTGAAGGCGATTTATCAAAGTGCCCTAGAACAACACCATTTTGACAAAATTTATAAATTTAGATTAGTTCTGTGCTTTTCGACAATGGCAGAATATAGGTAAAGAAAAGCAGACATTACAGATGATTTTTGGAAAAATTTAATAAATATGAAGATAGATGAAAAATTAAAAGATACTGGTTATAGCACTGATAAAAATCACCCACAAATGTTTTCTGTTTCAAAGCAGTGTGCACCCTGGCTGTACCTGGACTGAGCTAGATTGTGATGTCAATGGCTACATTTTTAATATATGTTTAAAATCATAACAGTGCATCACATGAAAAAGAAAGAAAACAAAAAGCAATTTATAAGGAATTTTCAATTTTAAATGAAATAATTTCCAGAGAATTCACCATTCACCTTTAGTTCCCACGAAGTGTAGATTGTGTGCACACTCCTAGTGCTTTCTTCAAGGTCCCACACTGCATTGTGGGATGTACACACTGAACTTTCCCCATAGAGATTCATTGATTCAATTAGGAGATGCTGACTGGACAGGGCAGCGTTTAAATGTGAGCCTGGCCTGCGTCCTTGGCGGAGATCTTGAGAACTGAACAATCTCAGCCAATCCAATGCTTTCCTACAGGAAAGCATTGTGACTGGTTGAGATTATCATTTCTGATGTCAGCCAAGCAGGCAGATCAGGGACAGAGCCAGCAACAGCATATTGGAATGAAGGTAAAATTTTACTATATTTAGGAGGACAAAGGGGGCTAGATAGCATTTTTAACACTAGGGTTATACAGGTTTGCGTTCCTGATTCTATATAGTGTTCCTTTAATTTACTTTTTTTATTTTAAATATTAGATATACTATGTCAAACAAAGAACTTTTCCATGACCGTCCAAATGTATTTCCTTTGCATGCAGTACATAATAGGAAGTGCCAAATGAACTTCACATTAGTCACTGGCTATTTATTTAGATCCTAATCACATGGAGATATTCATCATTATTAACTATCCACAAATGTATGCATTTCGATATGTAAAAACCCACAGTAAAATTAAATCTGTGAAATAAATGAAATTTCTTTCTGCCGAATTTTTGCGCAAATCAGGCAATAGTGAAGTCACATGCAACTAGAATCTACCCTTTTTGACTCAGTAGCACCTTATTGCAACTTTTGTAATAAAAAAGGAGGGTATTAACCTTCCCCCGCCAAACAAAAAAAACACTTTAAACAAAAAAAAACACTTAAAAAAAAAATGTATATATATATATATATATATTTTTATTTTATTTTTTTTTTTAAATACAACTGGAATAATACCAAATACTTAATATGAACACCTCAATGTATACCTTCCAACATTGGCCCCCACAAAATTAAAACAGGAGTGGGCATGTCGAATACAGTCTGCATTTGGAGGGGAGTACTTCTAATGTGGGACCTCAGAAAGACATCTAAGTCTCAGAAGTAAGAAATCATATGGAAAATCCAGTAAAGGTTTTCCAACTCAGGAAAGCTGTGCCAAGTGATAATTTAAGGTCATCCAGGCACTCAAAGGAATTCTAAAGTAGTTCTGTAATTTTCTGGGGTCTTTGCCCAGTGGTGCAGAGGATGGTAGGTTTTACTTACCTGAACAAGTCCCTCGCAGCCACCTTGATCCGGCGCGTCCTCTTTAGTGCCTACAGCTACATCTGCCAGGAGCAGACGTCTGCTGTAGTCGCACACATTGATGGCTATGGAAATTCTGCAAGACTCCATCGGCAAACCCTTCAATAAATCCACAAGACTCCATAGGGTACATCAATATAGGTAAATATATCACATAATAGTCTCAATGGTGTCCACTTTTGCAAAAGGTATATATTTATGGAGTAATTTAAATATGTGAGCTACTAAAATGCCCCAAAAGGCACCATAAATGTATTTTCAATTTGCCATTTAAAAAACAAAAACAAAAAAAAAAAAATAAAACCACACAAACAAAACAGCAATTGGCAGGTTATAAATTCAGCTCTGTATTATTACAAAAACATATTACATATCCAATTAAAATAATGTAAAACATTTAAATATACCACAAAATTTAATTAAAACTCAAAGAAAATGCCATAAACTTTGAAAGAAAATGGTGTTAAAATGGCTGTATAATAAGGCTCTAGATCTACCATATGACATACCCATGATGTCTCTTTTCACAAATCGTATGCATTTATGGTGTAATTTAAATGTCAAACTGCCCAAAAAAAAAAATGCAGGATAGGCACGTGAAATCCATCTATCAAAATCGAACTGAAAAAAAAACCCTGAAATAGTCAGGTATCTTATATTGCACTAATTTCGCAAGATAGCCAAAGGCATACTAGGGTTATTGTTTTACTGATAAGTTTGCAGAGCATAACTTGGGGGTGGGTAGTTTGAGCACAATGGCACGTATCAGATTTGAATAATGCCTGGTTAAAATGTGTATGTGTAAACCACACAATATTTTATTTTTTAACCAAAACTTTGACATAAACTGGTTGAAAAATGACAAAGGTAAAGGTAAAGAGCCAGTAATGCCTACATTATATAAAACACTTATGTGGTAATTGTACTTTCTGTGACAGTTGTTAAGCTTACACAAAAATACCAAATTCTAAAAATCGCTCCACACTGAAATTTTATTTTACTCCTTGTATTCTGTGACCTGTAAGTTTCAAAATAAACTGAAGTCCTACTTATTAAAATCAGGACAAAAAAAATTATTTTTAATTGCTTTTCATAAGCGGCACTAATTGTACACAGTTAGTAAACAATTGTACATTATTGCCAACATTTAGTATTTTAAATGAGATGTTATATATGTATGTCACATCAAATTAAAGTACTTTCTGTCCTTTAGCAAATCCTGCCTAAGCCCTACAGTAAAGGGAAAAGATTGTACAGCAAATACCGATGCCAATCATTGATTATGGGGATGTAGTATATGCACCTTCACCACAAACCCACCATAATAAACTTAATACATTGTATAACTTGTTCTGCTGCTTTGTGCTACAATGTAATTACAGGACCCACCATTGTGACACGTTAAAAGAGCTAAACTGGCTGTCGCTGGAATCCAGACACACCCTTCATCTTTCCAGCCTTGTGTTTAAGAGCTTTTCTGGGAAGCTCCCACCCTACCTGAGTAGAATGCTCTCTCCAGCTGTTCCCACCTCCTATAACCTCTGATCCAGTACCAGAACTTTATTTAGCCTACCTCAATACAAAAAGAAAGTAGCTCGATCCTGCATTTCCTACAGAGCACCGCAAGACCTCCTACACACCCCAGGCCTAAAATCCTTTAAGAGATCTCCCTCTACACATCCCAAAACAGAATGCACCTGTCATGGTTGATTTATTTATTACACGTTCTCTGTAAAATTTTGCACCTATTGTGTATTAATATTGTTTTTGTATTTTATTGGACCCTATTGTATCAATGCAATGTTTTGTGGACCTACTTGAAAATGAGGAATCTCAATGTATCCTTCTAGTAAAATATTTTATAAATAAATATATAATATGTATGAAGACATGAAGAGAAGCTCTTAAATTTTAAACTCTTAAAATCTATAACAAAAACAAGACTGTTTTGGTTCAGAATGTGGACAACTACCTTCGTTTTGAAGGGGTTATAAAGAATTGCTAGTGATTATTTAATTCCTAAAAGATCTAGTTCCCCATTTACAATGCATTCAGGGCAGTCCTGGTACATCCATAACGTCTCATACAAATCAAGATAAGGCTCTGTCATGCACACAGCACTGTTTGAGGGTGCACTCACTCATATCTTTTCAGGAGATGACCAAGCAAGCATGAGCAGCCCAGAGCTTTATGGGGCAATGACACTGTTCCAAACACTGAAGTGTTCTGGAGATATAAAAAAGGTATTTTATATTTGCATCCGATGCTTTAATTATCCCAAGTGTTCATGATATTGGCGAATACGAACAGGTTCTTATGTCAGTATAACTAAGGTCTTGGCAAATTTACTCACATTCATTTAGAGATATTATAAAAGGTAAGCACCCTTGCTGGGAAAGAAATCAAAAAAGAAACACTGACAAATTATAGCATAGGGTATTTTTACTGGGTATTTTTTTGTTTAATGTAAAAAGGCATATTATACTTGGCATATTTACCTGGTTGGAAGGCAGGATTTGGTCCAGCATACATATTGGGAGAATATGTAGGAGCAGCTGCAGCATACCCGATTGGAAATCCTGCTTAATAAAAACAAATACAACCACAAGGATTACCAGCAGGCTGATCAATGTATGTCAGGATTTGATTATGGACTATGTTTAAGGTGTTATACTTCTAAAAACACATCCTCAAAGGATGATTTGGAATGAATTTTTTTTCTATAATAAGATACACACATTAAAGGAACATGTCAGCTTACAGACACTTGTGAAAATCATAGAAATCAGCACTTTTATAATTAGCGAGAGAAACATCTTTCTGGCCGTCAATCAGCACGCCTGCCTTACCCTTTCTCAAAGAGCTTTATTACAGCGATCAAGACTTTCTTTTCAAAAATATGCGCACAGATCAACTTCAGAAGCACCAAGTGAGCTAATGTGAATTCATAATCTGGCTGCAGACCATCATAGAAACTACAAACAGGCAGTGATAGCCTTGCTGTATGCCTGTAATTGTATATATTCCCATACCCTTCCATTTTCTGGTGTGCACCTTGTTTTATATATTTTATTTGTATTACTGTATGTCTCCCTGGGTGTCCTCTCACAATGCAGGTTGCTTTGTAGTGGAGAATGCTCCATGCCATCAGTGGCTGAGCGGTGTACAAACATTTGATAAGGAAGTATTTATTCTGAAGTGAGAATGGCAAAGGAGGCAGGTGTATGCTGCAGCATTCGGCAACATTTGTGTGTGTGGGCAAAAACTCTAAACAGCATGTTAATGGTGCCTAATCCTATCAAATGCATTAAAGTGGCATTGCACTCAAGTGTCTCTTTGAGACTATACACTGGCACATCAAAGGCTAGAAGGAAATCATTTAGGTCAGTTAGACACAGCTGTTATCACAAACACAAGAGCCTGCAATAACTCAAGACTATTTCAGAACAATTCGTTTATGGTAAAAGATGTCACCAGAGCTCCCCCAATGGTCACTCAGTTCTAAACCCTTGTTTTCCGACACACAATTAAAAGATATGCTATAGGCACAACAATTTTAGCTTAATAAAGTCACTTTGGTGTATAGATCACACCCCTGTAGTTTCACTGATCAACGTAAATCACTTTTGCTTCCATTTATGCCACCCTAGCCACACCTCCCCTGGCTGACTCTCACAGCCTTCTTACTGTAGAGGTTTTTATCTCCTGCTTTGTAATTACTTACAGGAAGACACAGCATTGTCTAGAAGGACATTAACAGTAGGAGATAAATTCTATATTAAACAGAATGTGCAACAAAAGGAAGTTAGATCTTCACAGGAAGTGTTTAGGAAGGTGTGATTAGGGCTGCATGAACAAAGTGATTTAATTTTGAGATCGAGAATTGAGCATTGAAACTGCAGGGGTATGATCTACACTGAACTGTCAGGGTATTTCCACATTTGTGGTAAGAGAAATAAAAAATGTATACAGTAAGTCACCACTTAGTAGACGTAACTGCATTTTGTAACAAAAATGCAAAGAGACATTTTCTCTGTAATTCTATTCATTCAAATTATGGAATGCGTCAAGGTAAACGCTGACTAGAGATAAGGCTCTCTTACAAGACCTTATGTCTGCAACAACAGGGCCTAAACAGCCCATAAACACATATATAGATATATATATTTGACTAAGTATAATTATGTTTAATCATATATAAAAATTGTACCTATGTTAATATTGAATATTCATGGATAGAATCCCAGTGAAGAAAATGTCATTATTACTAAACTAATATTACCTAAATGTGTGTAAAAGCTATGTATATATCACATGCTGTCACATTACTAAGTGCTACACACATAGTTTCACACATAAACCAGACACAGGATTACAAGAAACAGATAATACTGAAAGTAATTAATTTTACTTTTTAAATTAAATTTATTGCTACAAAGTTCCATTGAATTAGAAAAGGTAAAAGAAAGTGCAGATGCGTCAATCTATTTTTATGGTCAAAAACCCAGACGGTCAGTTTAAGAAAATCCTTTGAAGAATGACATATCTGGAGGATGACGTCTAACGCATCACGAAAGTCAATTAACCCGTTAAACAAAGTGGAAGTTGGACTTCCTGCCGAGAATTTCTTGTGGTGTTACTACACCATCTATTGACCAAAATCTAGATGATAGCCTGTAGAAAAGATACGCCCATCTGACTATTGGTCATTTTAAACTAGTTACGTAAAGAAAGTTTAAGGGACACTATAGTCACCAGAACAACTACAGCTTATTGAATTTGTTCTGGTGAGTAGAATCATTACCTTCAGGCTTTTTGCTGTAAACACTGTCTTTTCAGAGAAAATGCAGTGTTTACATTACAGCCTAGTGATAACTTCACTGGCCCCTCATCAGATGGCTGTTAGAGATGCTTCCTGGGTCATGGCTGCCTAAAATGCATCCAAACATTCAGTATCTCCTCCTTCTGCATGACACTGAACTTTCCTCATAGAGATTCATTGATTCAATTCATCTCTATGAGGAGATGCTGATTGGCCAGGGCTGTGCTTGAATCATGCTGGCAATTTCAGGCAATCCTATGGGGAAGCACTGTGATTGGATCAGGCTACCACTTTTGATGTCAGCAGACTGTTTTGTTTTTATTTTTTTAGGCACACAGTATGCAGAGTTACAGCTTGAATACAGTAAGATTTTGCTATATTTATGGAGGCATGAGGGGCTAGATGGTTGTTTTAACACTATATGGTCAGGAATACAGGTTTGTGTTCCTGACCCTATAGTGATCCTTTAGGGAAGCTGGTCCTTTAAAAATTGAGGATAGCCGAAGAGATCTTCATCGGAGATCTGGAGCAAAAGCTGGACACACCTAACTTTCTGCATCTCTTCCAACTAATTCTGGAACTCTGAAAACCTCCAACTGAAACTTTGAAATTCTTAATCAGAACTCTGATAACTTTTCTATTTTCACAAATCTCTACTCATACTTGCATACACCAATTTATGGAATATATCTCCAAGCCTAAAAGAATTTCTACCAAGAAAGCTGGTAAATATGCTGGTTTTATTTAAAAAAAAATGAAAAGCAGAAATATACCTGGATAAAAGTTAACTAGTGTGATTTAAACTGGCAGCAAAAGTTTATTGTTATAAACTGTGCTGTGTGCGGCTGTGTTCTGTGTTAAGAAATGCCTAGCTGATTTCAAAGTGAAGTGTCCTGTTGTAAATAATTTAGCATTTTGCATCTATGCGGAAATGTTGCTATTGAGCTTTCTGTGATTGTGTCAAAACTGTTGCCATATGTATACTTATATTGTGCGTGACAATCAGTGGATATTTAATTATATTACATTTTATTGTCACAATAAATTATACTTTTATAATAAATGTGATTAATGTGTGAAATACAAATTCTCTAAACATGCTCCAGGGTCTATAAGAGTTAAAATAGTGGGTAACTTAGCTTGAAATCAATCAAGGAGAATATATTAATTTTTGATATAATACAAGTTATAAAATTAATTTTGATAATTTTTATGAAATATTTTTAATATCACCCCATAAATATCCTCACAGAACAGGCTTCATTAAGCTAAAATTTGTTTTGCTGTCTATAATGTACCATTAACAGACGTGGGTCCTTTGTCACACCCTGACAGTTCTTTTTCTTACCTCCTAACCTAGTACTCCTATCCTTTATCTTGGTGCCCGATGTTTCCAGGGGGGAAAAAAAAACGAGGTGTGCCGCTTACGAACAAATTAGCTTAAATTAAAAACACAAGAAAAAAAAAAGAAAGTTGAAATAAATACTTACCAGGATATCCAATGCCTTTAGCATTTGCATATGGTACCCCAGAAGAACCAGGGCTATAAACTGGATTCATGATGATAGATCTGAAAAGAAAGCAAATCATATCTGCATCAAATTGCATTGAGAACCTTTATACATGTAAAAAATATATATCCAAGATCATAGGTGTGTATATTGCTTATATTTGGGAGGAGAGCAATATATTTCTATAAAACAGGGGATAAGCAGATATAGCAATTAGTGCTGCCAGTTGGCGGACAACATTCAGAGGCTTTTTAACTGTTGCAAAATAAAGCATATATAGTCTATAGCAGTGGTTCACAAACTTGTTAGGTTCTAGGCGCCCTTAATATTTAAATATTTTTCCAAGGCGCCCCAAGTCAAAACACTTTTCTAGGTTGTATATGTTCAGCGCTGCAGCATATATTGGGCCAGTTTGGCAGAAATGCTTGCCGTTCAGGCGCAGATCCAGAACCTAATTTTGTGAGGGGCACTGGTAGATATTTTTTTTTTTTTTTTTAAGAAACAAAACCAGGTCTATAGCCTTTGACAAGTTCCATACAATAAAATCTCCCACTAACAAATTCACTTAATGGTTTAACATCTTCTGAAAAAGTATTTCCTTTTTAAAACACATTCACATTAAACAATAATGAAAAAGCCCTTTATTAAATCATTAATCAAGTAGGATGTTCATTGCCTATTCAATGTTTTGCTTACTTTGCAAGGGATACAAAATCACTCGGGTGAACAAACCACTAAATGGTTAGAAAAGGGATCCATGCCCTTGATGTCCCCCAGCCCCTTTCTGCAGTCGCAAAGTCAGTGTTAAATAATATTAAAAATAAATAAAACCACATTAAAACAGTTTGACACTAAATAGTGGGATTGCACCATCTCTAATGAGAGATAGCTTATATTGCCTAGAGCAGGCTTCCCCAAACTCCGGCCCTCCAGATGTTGCTTAACTACAACTCCCATGATTCTCAGCCTATTTCATTCATAGAAGTTGTCGTTCAGCAACATCTGGAGGGCCGGAGTTTAGGGAAGCCTGGCCTAGAGTGTCCTTTAAAGAAATACAAAGCTATATTGCGTCCCTTTGTAGAGTACTCCACTGCCCCTCAAGTGCCATTAAAAGAGAAAAAAAATAGTTTTGAGTGCAGGAATTCCCTCAACACTGCTTACCTCTCCGCCTCCTGCAACCTCCATGAGCAGGCATGGTCCAATCCATTGCATCATGTGACCAAGTTTTACTCTATGAAAGCCACTAGAGGCACGTTACCCTTCAAGGTAAAAACTGAGCTTTCTGCAAAATTTTTTACTTTGAAGTACCTCTGCATCCAGACCACAAGATAAAATGGTCTGGCTGACTGCAGTGTGATAAGATTAAAATAGCCAAATAATGACTTGAGCAGATTTATACATTTTTCAAGGGTTGCAATATTCTCTGGTTATTTACTAAGGTGAAAATTGTCAGGAATTTCAAATTTTAGACCAAAATAGTGGAACTGGCAGCATAGCCAACTTGTAGAATTTTCTCAATTGCACTAATTTGGAATTCACTATGAATTTATTCTGAATTCCTAGCAATTATCACTTTATAAAAACCCTGCTAGTTTTAAATGCAGAAAAAATAGAATTAAAGGACCACTATAGGCACCCAGACCACTTCAGCTTAATGAGGTGGTCTGGGTGCCAGGTCCTTCTAGGGTTAACCCATTTTTTAATAAACATAGCAGTTTCAGAGAAACTGCTATGTTTATGAATGGGTTAAGCCTTCCCCCTAATCCTCTAGTGGCTGTCTCATTGACAGCCACTAGAGGCGCTTGCGTGCTTCTCACCGTGATTTTCACAGTGAGAGCACGCCAGCGTCCATAGGAAAGCATTGTAAATGCTTTCCTATGCGACGGGCTGAATGCGCGCGCAGCTCTTGCTGCGCGTGCGCATTCAGCCGACGGGGCGGAACAGAGGCGGAGAGAAGGAGGAGAGCTCTCCGCCCAGCGCTGGAAAAAGGTAAGTTTTAACCCCTTTCCGGGCGGGAGGGGGTCCCTGAGGGTGAGGGCACCCTCAGGGCACTATAGTGCCAGGAAAACGAGTATGTTAACTAAGTGAATTAACTAAATTAAAATGACAGACAATGAGTAGAATTAAAAAGAGCAGTTACTTCTTTCATAAAAAGTCAGACCTATACAAAACTCTTATGTATTCTACAGAAGACACTCCACATTTTTAATCCTATGCAATTTTTTTGCTCTGATTGGTGCTAATCACATGTAGCTCTTGCTACATCTGTCAAGTGATTTTACATCAGCGACCTTTGTTCATGGGATTATATTTATGACCGGAATATCAATCCATTTACGAGGGCGAAATCAGTTCAAAGTTTTAGGGTTTCAAATAATCATGTACTCAAACAACATAGCATAAAAGCAAGAAATGTATTGAATAACTTAAACCTGCTGTGTTGGTGACTTCTGAGTACTGGTGTTTTACATTCCCGATTTAAGAATAAGGACATGCAAAGTTTCATAAGAAATATAATACTCTTAATTTCCAAGGTTCTACTATACAGTATCTCCTTTCTCTACGCTGCTTAAAGGACCACTATAGTGCCAGGAAAACATACTCGTTTTCCTGGCACTCAAAGAGCAATCACATGGCCCCTATAGCTGGCTGTGGATCTGCCAGCAGGGGGACTGTCTGAAATGTCAGACAGTCCCACTGCTGGTGGGAAAGTAAAAAAATTAATAAAAAAAATGATTAAACATGTTAAAAAAAATAATATATATGTGTGTGTGTATATATGTGTGTGTGTTTGTGACTAAGTGGCTACTATAAAAGACTGGACATATCCCACTTGCAATACCTTGGGTTGCCTACTTTTGCAAATGGTATGCCATCATGGGGGTAAATCTCATTCCTGGGCTACCTCACGGTCGCAAAGGTAACATAACCAGACAGGAGGGTAAATGAATTTCAGTACCTTTACCTAGCAGTATTTCTCAGTTACTCCTTACATAGTAAGAAAACTTCTCACCTTCATCATACAAAAAAAAAAAAAAAAAAAAAAAGGTGAAACTCACCAAGGTCATCATTTCATGACAGAGGCACTTTAAAAACCAATACTGTGCAAATATTTCTGCCACCAGCCTTTTTAATCTTAACAGCTAGAATATTCAAACATCCATAGGTAAATAATAAATAAGAGAAAAATAACATTGCTGGGTGCAGATGTGGGCTGAAACAATGTCATTCTAATAACTTTTCTTAAAATTATTTATAGCTCTATAAACATTCTTATTATTGAGTTTGTGGCTGCTTCCACAAGTGTGAGCATCAAATTTAGATTACATACACGTCAACCATTGCTACAATCTAACAAATATCTAGAAATTCCAATTCCCTACCAGTGTTGATTATATAATGGATCAATTGAACGGATCATGATTACTGCAAGTTGCAAGTATAAATATATAACCACATCCAATGTAATGCATTAAAGGAACATTTAGTGTTAGGAATACAAAGCTGTATTTCTAACATTAGTGTCCCTCTGCCCTCGCGTTCACCTGGTAACCTCCCTCCCCACCCCCGATCCATGAGAGGTAATTTATAACAATTCACTTAACCGATTCCAGCGCAGATATCCCTCGGTACTAGGTCGGTCTCCTCCATCAATTCAGGAACCTAATGCATGTACAGCGAGTGCACATTAGTCCTTCCCCATAGGAAAGCATTCACTCAGTGCTTTCCTATGCGGTTCTGCTTGACGCAGGATCGTCTCAGGCACAGTGTGAGGATGTCCAGCCTTGTTTCAAGGAGTCAAACTCTATGAAACTGCAGGAAGCGCCTCTAGTCGACGTCTGGTAGACAGCCACTGGGGGCAGTCTTAACGAATGTACACATTGCTGATTCTCTAAAAAGGCAATGTTTTACATTACACATTCAAGGAAACAAGGAAACTGCATCCAGATCACTTCAATATGTGTCCCTTAAAATGGACAGAGCCCAGGTGTACTTTATAGGTTTTCTTTGGAAGAATACTTTGTGAGTGGCAGAGACTAAAGCTATGCAAAACGCTCAGAACACCATAACTACTACATTGGGCTCCAGTTACAGTGCCAGGAGTGCGCTGGTACATACCTGCTGTAAGTAGTCTGTTTTGGAATGTGTGGACAATAACAATCTCAATGAATAGGTGTGATTTAAAAAAAAACAAAAAAAACAAAAAAACGCTAATTGTTTTGAGTAGCAAGAGAAACCCTATTTAACTAATGCATCAATGTAACACTCAGCACTATGTAACGGGCAGACAAAACGGACAGATCGTGGCATAAATAAGCAAAATTTTGAGAGCAGCCAGCATAGAAGAAAAGAAAAAAACATTTACCTAAAAAATTTTTTTTATTTTTTTTTTAAATGGATGTTATTTTAATTATTTGATTGGAGAAAAATTTGAAGAAAAAAAACACTGTATAAATTACATATGTGAAATTAAAAAAAAACAACGAAATTTAAAAAAATATATATATATATATAGATAGATAGATATAGATAGATATATATATTTTTTTTTTTTTACACATAAACAAGGATAAAGAAAATGCAGTTCTACATTTCCAGGAATGAGATGGCAATATGCGCCTCCCATCACCTACAGACCAGGAATGGGCAGAATGCAGAGCCCAGCTGTTGTTATAGAACAGGGGGCAAAGCATCATGGGGGATGTAGTTCAGGGACATTCTGTGCGGTGTCTGGCTGGCTGTCTGTGGGCTGGCTGCGGGTACGGACGGGGATTGTCATGACGCTCAGGCGGTGTGTCTGTGACGGGAACCCGGAGGACACGCACCGTGCGGAGGCGGAGGACACACTGCGCTACGGACTACGTTGCAGCCACAGTGGATGAGAGGCAGCGGGCAGGGCGAGTCGTTACCGGGCACGGAGGGACACTGGGTGGGGGCGGGGACCTGCCGTGGCGGTGTTCCCAGTGCGGGGGGAGCGGGATACTCACGTAACTCGGTCGGTCGGTCTCCGGTTATTCCTTTCTTTCAGCGAACCTGCGCAGCAACAACCTCACGGCCTGTGTCGTCACTTCCGCCAACCGCGCGCTGCTTTCATTCCCTCGGCCAGCTCTGGGATAGGGGGGATTCGGGGGCGGGGCCTGCGCGCAGTCACGTGATGCCTCCAAAGGCGATGTCGTGATGTGTGTGTGTGTATTTGTGTTATACTTCCATGGGGCCAGCTCAGTGTGTGTGTATAACACTATTACTGGGCCAGCTCAGTGTGTGTGTATAACACTATTACTGGGCCAGCTCAGTGTGTGTGTAACACTATTACTGGGCCAGCTCAGTGTGTGTATAACACTATTACTGGGCCAGCTCAGTGTGTGTGTATAACACTATTACTGGGCCAGCTCAGTGTGTGTATAACACTATTACTGGGCCAGCTCAGTGTGTGTGTATAACACTATTACTGGGCCAGCTCAGTGTGTGTGTATAACACTATTACTGGGCCAGCTCAGTGTGTGTATAACACTATTACTGGGCCAGCTCAGTGTGTGTGTATAACACTATTACTGGGCCAGCTCAGTGTGTGTATAACACTATTACTGGGCCAGCTCAGTGTGTGTATAACACTATTACTGGGCCAGCTCAGTGTGTGTGTATAACACTTACTGGGCCAGCTCAGTGTGTGTGTGTATAACACTGTTACTGGGCCAGCTCAGTGTGTGTATAACACTATTACTGGGCCAGCTCAGTGTGTGTATATAACACTATTACTGGGCCAGCTCAGTGTGTGTGTGTATTTGTGTTATACTTCCATGGGGCCAGCTCAGTGTGTGTGTATAACACTATTACTGGGCCAGCTCAGTGTGTGTGTATAACACTATTACTGGGCCAGCTCAGTGTGTGTGTATAACACTATTACTGGACCAGCTCAGTGTGTGTATAACACTATTACTGGGCCAGCTGTGTGTGTGTGTATAACACTATTACTGGGCCAGCTCAGTGTGTGTGTATAACACTATTACTGGGCCAGCTCAGTGTGTGTATAACACTATTACTGGGCCAGCTCAGTGTGTGTATAACACTATTACTGGGCCAGCTCAGTGTGTGTGTATAACACTTACTGGGCCAGCTCAGTGTGTGTGTATAACACTATTACTGGGCCAGCTGTGTGTGTGTGTGTATAACACTATTACTGGGCCAGCTCGGTGTGTGTATAACACTATTACTGGGCCAGCTCAGTGTGTGTATAACACTATTACTGGGCCAGCTCAGTGTGTGTATAACACTATTACTGGGCCAGCTCAGTGTGTGTGTATAACACTATTACTGGGCCAGCTCAGTGTGTGTATAAAACTATTACTGGGCCAGCTCAGTGTGTGTGTATAACACTATTACTGGGCCAGCTCAGTGTGTGTGTATAACACTATTACTGGGCCAGCTCAGTGTGTGTGTATAACACTATTACTGGACCAGCTCAGTGTGTGTATAACACTATTACTGGGCCAGCTGTGTGTGTGTGTATAACACTATTACTGGGCCAGCTCAGTGTGTGTGTATAACACTATTACTGGGCCAGCTCAGTGTGTGGTGTGTGGTATACCGTTACTACAGTTTTAGTGTGTGTATAACACTCATTACTGGGCCAGCTCAGTGTGTGTGTGTATAACACTGTTACTGGGCCAGCTCAGTGTGTGTATAACACTATTACTGGGCCAGCTCAGTGTGTGTATATAACACTATTACTGGGCCAGCTCAGTGTGTGTGTGTATTTGTGTTATACTTCCATGGGGCCAGCTCAGTGTGTGTGTATAACACTATTACTGGGCCAGCTCAGTGTGTGTGTATAACACTATTACTGGGCCAGCTCAGTGTGTGTGTATAACACTATTACTGGACCAGCTCAGTGTGTGTATAACACTATTACTGGGCCAGCTGTGTGTGTGTGTATAACACTATTACTGGGCCAGCTCAGTGTGTGTGTATAACACTATTACTGGGCCAGCTCAGTGTGTGTATAACACTATTACTGGGCCAGCTCAGTGTGTGTATAACACTATTACTGGGCCAGCTCAGTGTGTGTGTATAACACTTACTGGGCCAGCTCAGTGTGTGTGTATAACACTATTACTGGGCCAGCTGTGTGTGTGTGTGTATAACACTATTACTGGGCCAGCTCGGTGTGTGTATAACACTATTACTGGGCCAGCTCAGTGTGTGTATAACACTATTACTGGGCCAGCTTAGTGTGTGTATAACACTGTTACTGGGCCAGCTCAGTGTGTGTATAATAAAAATAGAGAAAAGAAGGAATAGATGGTGCTAATGGTATAGAGTTGGTGCTGCTAAAAAAAAACACCAAAGTGTACAGTCACTAAAATACACTTAAAGGACCACTATAGTGCCAGGAAAACAAACTAGTGTAATTGATGATATTTAATTGTTATGTATATGTTATATAAATAGCATTTGTATGCATTATCCATTATACTTTCACCTGAGGAAGACTCAATTGTGGGTTGGAACGCGTTGTGCTTTTATTTCTATTTTATTTTGTTTGTATGCACTATTTATACTAATAAATGGCTTATATTCACTTTGGATCGGTGAGTTCCTGTTGTTCCTATGATATAAATAGCTCCCAACATGTGGAAATCTTATCCTTGAGAAAGCATCCTACACTTCTGAGAGGAGATGATGTGCCTTATAAGCTCAGAGTCAACTTATGATAGGCTCTGAAAATTGTGAGTGTGCCGACTTTGTATATATCAATTTTAACCATTTATACAGGCTATACTATGTACTGTTGTATTTCCTGTCTTATATTGGAATCAGTGTTATTCAAAAAAGTGGTACATTTTACCAATTGATTGTTTAAGGTAAATTTTTTTTTTTTTATGTGTGTGCTGAACACCTTGTTTTTTCTCATTGTATAGTGTGTATATAACATTATTACATGGCCAGCTGTGTGTGTAGCACTATTACATGGCCAGCTGTGTGTGTAAAACACTATTACTGGGCCAGTTGTGTGTATATAACATTATTACAGGGCCAGCTGTGTGGATAACACAATTACATGGCCAACTGTGAGTGTAGCACTATTACATGGCAAACTGTGTGTGTAGCACTATTACATGGTCAGCTGTGTGGATAACACTATTACATGGCCAGCTGTGTGGATAACACCATTACATGGCCAGCTGTGTGTGTAGCACTATTACAAGGCAAGCTGTGTGTGTGTATGTAGCACTATTACACGGCCAGCGGTGTGTGTGTATATGACACTATTACATGGCCAGCTGTGTGTGTAGCACTATTACATGGCCAGCTGTGTGTGTAGCACTATTACATGGTCAGCTGTGTGGATAACATCATTACATGACCAGCTGTGTGTATCACACTATTACATGGCCAGCTGTGTGTGTAGCACTATTACAAGTCCAGCTGTGTGTGTATGTAGCACTAATACACGGCCACCGGTGTGTGTGTATATGACACTATTACATGGCCAGCTGTGTGGATAACACTATTGCATGGCCAGCTGTGTGTGTAGCACTATTACATGGCCAGCTGTGTGTGTAAAACACTATTACTGGGCCAGTTGTGTGTATATAACATTATTACAGGGCCAGCTGTGTGGATAACACAATTACATGGCCAACTGTGAGTGTAGCACTATTACATGGCCAACTGTGTGTGTAGCACTATTACATGGTCAGCTGTGTGGATAACACTATTGCATGGCCAGCTGTGTGGATAACACCATTACATGGCCAGCTATTTGTATCACACTATTACATGGCCAGCTGTGTGTGTAGCACTATTACAAGGCCAGCGGTGTGTGTGTATATGACACTATTACATGGCCAGCTGTGTGTGTAGCACTATTACATGGTCAGCTGTGTGGATAACACCATTACATGACCAGCTGTGTGTATCACACTATTACATGGCCAGCTGTGTGTGTAGCACTATTACAAGTCCAGCTGTGTGTGTATGTAGCACTATTACACGGCCAGCGGTGTGTGTGTATATGACACTATTACATGGCCAGCTGTGTGGATTACACTATTACATGGCCAACTGTGTGTGTAGCACTATTACATGGTCAGCTGTGTGGATAACACTATTGCATGGCCAGCTGTGTGGATAACACCATTACATGGCCAGCTATTTGTATCACACTATTACATGGCCAGCTGTGTGTGTAGCACTATTACAAGGCCAGCGGTGTGTGTGTATATGACACTATTACATGGCCAGCTGTGTGTGTAGCACTATTACATGGTCAGCTGTGTGGATAACACCATTACATGACCAGCTGTGTGTATCACACTATTACATGGCCAGCTGTGTGTGTAGCACTATTACAAGTCCAGCTGTGTGTGTATGTAGCACTATTACACGGCCAGCGGTGTGTGTGTATATGACACTATTACATGGCCAGCTGTGTGGATTACACTATTACATGGTCAGCTGTGTGGATAACATCATTACATGACCAGCTGTGTGTATCACACTATTACATGGCCAGCTGTGTGTGTAGCACTATTACAAGTCCAGCTGTGTGTGTATGTAGCACTAATACACGGCCACCGGTGTGTGTGTATATGACACTATTACATGGCCAGCTGTGTGGATAACACTATTGCATGGCCAGCTGTGTGTGTAGCACTATTACATGGCCAGCTGTGTGTGTAAAACACTATTACTGGGCCAGTTGTGTGTATATAACATTATTACAGGGCCAGCTGTGTGGATAACACAATTACATGGCCAACTGTGAGTGTAGCACTATTACATGACCAACTGTGTGTGTAGCACTATTACATGGTCAGCTGTGTGGATAACACTATTGCATGGCCAGCTGTGTGGATAACACCATTACATGGCCAGCTATTTGTATCACACTATTACATGGCCAGCTGTGGGTGTAGCACTATTACAAGGCCAGCGGTGTGTGTGTATATGACACTATTACATGGCCAGCTGTGTGTGTAGCACTATTACATGGTCAGCTGTGTGGATAACACCATTACATGACCAGCTGTGTGTATCACACTATTACATGGCCAGCTGTGTGTGTAGCACTATTACAAGTCCAGCTGTGTGTGTATGTAGCACTATTACACGGCCAGCGGTGTGT